CAGCGGGGGCCGCTGCCCTCCACTGTGGTGCTCCATGATGTCGGAGGAGCCCAGGGCTTTGCTTGCAGCTGCAATAATACTAAAATCTACCGTGTCGGACTGAGCGCTCCCCTTGAACTTACTGTCCCCCCCATCACCCCCCAACACTTGCACCCCCAAAGTAGTAAGAGCCTGGGATGCATAACCCTTAAAATCATCCGTGTCTCCGCTCTCTGCCCTCCACTGTGGTGCTCCATGATGTCGGAGGAGCCCAGGGCTTTGCTTGCAGCTGCAATAATACTAAAATCTACCGTGTCGGACTGAGCGCTCCCCTTGAACTTACTGTCCCCCCCATCACCCCCCAACACTTGCACCCCCAAAGTAGTAAGAGCCTGGGATGCATAACCCTTAAAATCATCCGTGTCTCCGCTCTGGCTGCTCTCATCAAAGTACTCCTCCCCAAAGCCACTTTGACTCTGACTGTTGAGCAAGTCGGGGTTGAAATCTACTCCATCGGGAAAGAAATGGTTTGAGGAATCACTGCTGGGGCTGACGGCAGCGTCCGCGATCAGGTCCGCGGGGTCCGTGTACGGGTTCTCGCCGGCGTTGCTCTGAAACACATCTGGGTCAAAGAGGGCACTTTGGGAATGTCCTGAACTAGAAGAGTCCCTCACTGGAGTACCAATGGGAGGACAGTCCTCGCTCGCAGCGGGGAGCTTGGAAGCCTCCTCTGCTATGTCCGAGAGGATGTCGGTGACGTCGGCTCCGATGCTGTCCGAGCTGGAGAGCCGAACCATCCTCTGAATGCTGGGCTGCGTGTGAGGGATGGGCTGGGGGTACGTAGCGGGAGGAGTGCTGCACTGGCTGGGGGCTGGAGTGATGTGAGGGGTGTCCAGGGTATCTGCAGTCATGTTGACATCAAAAATGGGGTTCTGGGAGTCAACATCCATCGAGAAGAGCTCCCTCTGGAAGTCATCCTCAGTCTGGTGCTTGGGTTTGTCGGCTGGTGCGCGGGACTTTTTTTTCTTCTGCTTATTCCCCCCAGGAATTTCCATCCGGGGGGAGCCAGAGGAAGAGTTTTGCCTTTCCAAAGGGCTGCTCCCATAGAGGCTGGAGAAATCCTGAGGGGGATTCTCTTTGAGAAGGTTCATGAGCATGGGGTGGTTCTTGGTGTTGCTTGCTGGGGAGGATACTGGTGGGGGGGTGTGGTGGGGAGGGGTTGGGCTTGAGCCAATGGCTGAGCCCACGTTGCCCGTGATCTGCAATAAACTAGTGAGAATTGGGTTCTGAGACACTTTGCTGAAGTCCTCCCCATGGCTCCCCACCGAATCATGCCTCTCTTTCATGCTTATGCTCATGTTAAACAAAGTGGTGATGGGCCCCCCAGGAAAAGTGTTGGTTGGGGTAGTGGTACCACTCAGCGGGTTGCTGCCTGTGGTCATGCCATACCCTGGGCTGCTGGCTGGGGGAAGGTTTTTCTTCACCATATCTTCTACTGTCTCTGCAATGAGGGATAAGGCTGGTGTGTCGGCTTGGATCGTTTCTGCTTTCCTGCGGATTGCTCTCATGGTGACAGGGATGGACATACACCTGCAGGACACAACGCAAAGGGGTTCGTGGGTGTTCTGCTGCCCCACCAAGACCTTTCCACAACTTGATTCTCTCCCTCTGCTCTGCTCTGGGGGGACCCCCCCTGCACTCCTGTGTCCAACTCTGGGGCAACACCATCAGAGGGACATGGAGCAAGTCCAGAGGAGGCCACGGAGCTGCTGTGAGGGCACCCCACAGTGGCTGGGGTGGAGGAACCTTGGTGAAAGGCCTGTGTAAAGACAAACTGCTCTTCCATGTCTTCTAAGACTCAGAAAGCAGCCAACCCCACGAGAAAGCACCTGGGCGTGCATTCAAAAGTAAGAAGTTACAGTCCAATGCCTGGAATGGGGTTTTCAATAGGGCTCCAGCTTCCCTCTCTTCCAAACAACCACTCCTAAGACTCACCCCCACAGAGGACGGCTCCAAACCCACCAGGGTAAATGTGAGATAGACACAGAGTGCACCTGTATGAGCTGGAGTTCCTGGTGGCACAGAAAGCCCTGGCTTACCTTTGCACAACCTTGGCAATGAAATCATCTGTACAGATCAGAGCATCAGACAGCCCCTTGTAGAGCTTACAGTTCACGTGAGTTGAGTCCTGCACATCCATTACCACTACAAGAGAGGAGGAGGTTGGAAGAGATCAAAATCCTGGTTACAGTGGAAGGAAACTCTGCCACCCTCCCCATAAACACACTCCTCCTCTTCCCTGATTCCACTTACCACAGACCAGGGAGTCATTCACGGGATGCTGAAAGGAGACACTGAAACAGGAGTCAGAGAGTGGGCAAACCTCAAACTGCAGGATCCCGGGGGAATCTGAAAGACATGGAGACATGGGAGCTGTTCAATTAGGGAACACACGGGATGAACCAGAGCCACCAGCTTGATACCCCCTATAGAACGAAAGGGAAAAGGAAGGGGGAAAGCAGGGGGGAAAACAGGGGGGAAAGCAGGGGTTCCTCATCCCCACGTGCTGCACCCACCTTCCTTCAGCACCGTCCTCTTGACGCAGCTGCCGATGAGGGTGTTATAGGCCACCTGGTGCCGGATGAGGCTGAGGATCAGCGGCACCCGGCCCGGGTGCTGGAAGGCGATTTTACTGATCAGAGTTCCTTGAAGGCTTCTTCCATCTGGGAGAGGAGCATCTTTGTTCAGAAAGTAACAGTGCTGCTGTCCTGGAAGAGCCTGACAAACAATTCCTGCTTTACTCCAACTCCTGCTGGGCACAAGGCAGTAATAGACCTCCAGGAAGAAAAAGCAAGCCCCAGATGCAAGGAACACCAAAGCCACCTTTCTGGGTGAAATGGCAAACAAGGAAAACACGTTCCTTCCAATCTGACCAAGCACAACAGGATTTCTGGCTCCACAGAAGTACCACAGCTGAACAGTATTCTCTGTTCCCACTAAAGCAGTTTCATACATGTGGCATCTCTTCAGAGGAAGGGAGAAACCCTCTGCAGTTAATGAGATCCATCATTGACTAATTTAAGAACTAGGATTTCTCCTACTTCAGAGGGGAGACTGAGATGAGCTCTGAGGCAGAAGCTCTTCCCTGTGAGGGTGCTGAGGTGCTGGCACAGGGTGCCCAGAGGAGCTGTGGCTGCCCCATCCCTGGCAGTGTTCAAGGCCAGGTTGGACCCAGGGGCTTGGAGCAACCTGCTCTAGTGGAAGGTGTCCCTGCCCATGGCAGGGGGTTGGGACTGGAGGAGATTTAGGGTTCCTTTAACCCAAACCAGTCTGGGAGTCTATGATTCTAATTACAGTGGTCATGTCTGTATCTGAATTCCAATGCTTGGTTGTAACAAGATACTTACTGCATAGAAGTGCATATTGTGGTTTAAAGGTACTGGATCAGCCTCCTTGGATAACTCAAACTGTGTGATCAGCTCATACAAGGGTACAAATGTTGGTGGTGTGTCGAACAAAGGAATACCTGAGGGAACAGAAGAAGAGGGTGGGCCAGAGAAGGTGTTACCATAGAGGAAACCTATCCAGGTTTTCCTGACAACAGCACAAATCCTCAAGCAATTTTCCTGTCACGCATTAAAAACGAGCAGCAGTTTCTGAATAAAAACCTGGGGAGCAGCTATGAGACAGATGTGCCACCCACCTGTGCAGCCCTGAAGCTTCTGAATGAAAGCTCGAGACACTGGGATGGGACGTGGGAATTTCAGGAAGAAACAAGCTGGTAGATCCACGCTGTTGGCACTAGTGATGGATGAGAACGACGGAGTTCTGAAACAGTGGGTTAATACAGGATCTTATCAGACACAGGGCATGGCTTTGGCTTCTGCTGTCAACACCACACAGACCATTTCCTCTTTGCTCCAACCCAAGCAGGCTGTTAGACCTTCTTAAAAATTAAGGTACTCCTCCAAAGCATGTCACATGCCTGAAACAGGGATTTCTTGGCTAAAGACAGTGCATGTATAATGCCACGACATCACGCAGCCATCTCCCCACTGTGACTACAACAGAGTTAGTATTGAACCTGCACCTAAACCAGGGTGCTGAGCAGGACCTTGTGTCCTCTGCTTACCCTTTGCTGTCAACTGGATGTGAGCCCATGATGAGTGGGGCAATTGGAAGCTTGTACATAGCCATGGTGCCCTCAATGGTGACTGACACGTTCATCCCCAGCGAGCGAGGGACTGTGAGAGGGAGCAAGAAACAAACACAACAATAAACCCAGAGCAGCTTTATGAGTGAAACATCACTATGCGGAAATCAGAGTCACAGATGAGTTTGGGTTTAAGGGGCCTTAAAGCTCCTCCAGCTCCAACCCCTGCCCCGGGCAGGGACACCTTCCACTAGAGCAGGTTGCTCCAAGCCCCTGTGTCCAAGCTGGCCTTGAACACTGCCAGGGATGGGGCAGCCACAGCTTCTCTGGGCACCCTGTGCCAGCGCCTCAGCACCCTCACAGGGAAGAGCTTCTGCCCAAGAGCTCATCTCAGTGTCCCCCCTGGCAAGTTAAAGCCATCCCCCCCTTGAAATATCTTACTTCCTCCACGAGGCAGTTTCCAGCGTTCACTTTATCACTAAACTGACCTAGAGCCAAACTACTTTTACTCCCTAATGTTCTATTTTTCTCTTGCAAGGTGGACCAATTGCACCATTCTGAAAAGAGACTCCAAATACCCTTGTAAGTTCGTAGTATGCTCTTTACAAATCATGATTTTGGACACTTTCACCCCCTCCTCTCCCAAAAGCAGCCTTGGCTTGAACAGCTGCTTAGTTTTGTCATTTTAGTGAGACACAGATAGCCATGTACATGCATAAAAATTCATCTTCCAGTAAGACAGCAGAGACACAACAAAACAGATCCCATGTTAAGGATGAAGTTCACCCTAAGGAAAAGGCTCTGTGTGCAGACTGTCACCCCATTCCCCTTGGTAGCAGCCTGCTTTGAACTCCAAATAGCCACAAGAAGATAGTCACCAGCTTTTCCACACAGGCTTATTGAACCCATGTCCTCTGCAAGTCAACCCACGACTGTCCTGTATGACAGGGTGACAGCAGAGGGCAGTGAGACTGCTATAGAGTTGTCTTCTTCTCTCCTCCAAGCAGCAGCAGCCCACACTGAAGCTCACCTACCATTGTTCTCATGCAAAATAACAGGGGCTCCAGAGCCATCTTCAAATAAATCATAGGGCGAGACATAATACTTGAGGTTCATCAGGAGACCTGTGGGAGAGAAGCTGCTGAACTGGAGGGTCCAAGTCACCCCGACCACTGTTAACCCCCACAGCCAGGCAGCATTCACACTGTCCCACAGCACACAGAGCTGCCCCTTGAAGAGCTGTGCTCTGCTGTCACACACAGACGTGTCCATCTGCGTGGCTTTGTAAAGCAAAGCTGCACGTCTACATCACGTGGGACTCTCAAACACTCAACCTCATCCCTCTTTGCTTGGCATTTCCCATTCATTTCCAGTAGTTCATGTGAAACCAACATCCATAAAGGGGACTCTGACCCAAGTAAGTTGGATTCTTTCCTTTTTCTAAGCACTAATCAAAGGTACCTCCACTCCTGGGGGTGAGATAGCCAACACTGCCATGGAGAATCTTGTCCAGGGGATTGGCGTTGGTGGCTTGCCTGCAAGAAAGACAGTCACAAGTCTGTAACAAGCCAGAGTCATACCTGAATCTGAAATCCAGGTGCTGATGGCACAAAGCCTAAGATTTTAGCTCAATCTACCCACTTCTCAGTCCCACTGATCTTAAACTTCACCCTGATACAGGCAAAACACAAGCTATTTGACTCTCTACAGCAGAGTTGTTTGCCCAGACTCTACAGCAGTGAAAGAGGGTAAAATGGTTCTGTTTCTTACTCTAAATCACGTTACCACTAATCCCTCCCGTGACAAACTCCATTTTTTGCCTTTTAGACTTTCTTGCCATTGAGTTCTGCAGTTAAAAAGGGATTGCTAGAAAGCTCTGAGCACTTTCTCCTTCCCCTGCTACCACGAGCCCTCGATAGCCCCAGCATCTTCTTAGCAGCAATGACAGACAAGACAGGCACTGATGGGACACTTCCCACATAAACAGGACGTGGCACAATCACAATCAGCCAACATGATGCAGTTGTAAGCAAAACCAAAGCACCAACAAACCCCAAACCTTACCAGTACATCCCTGCCATTTTTGAGAGATCCAGCTCTAAGGACTGCAGAGCCAAGTACATTTTAGTTTTCAGTTTGCTGGGGAGAAGAAAACCAACAAAAGAATATAAGCACAAGGGAAAGGAACTGTGCAGGGAAGTGCTGGCTGAGAAGCTGCAGGCCTTGCCATCAGCCTGAGCACTTTAGACCTGGTAACTTGTCACTCTGCAGCCCCACGTGCAAGCCTTGTGAGGAGCTCAGGAGGCTCACACACAACAAATATGTAAGCACAGAAGTGAAACTTGTACATTTATTTACATATGTGGCTGTAAATAAATACATTCTACTTACTTGTCCCCTGGCAGCTTATACAGGTTCACAAGTCCCCTCAGATGCTTGGAAAACTCATCAAAGTTCTTCTCTCTGAAAGGCAAAGTTAAGATGTATTCCAACTCGTAACAGACAAGGGTTTGTTATAAAAGGTTCCATTAATACAGACACTAAACCACTTCAGAAAAGACTTTTGGTAAATGGAAGCTACAAAATGCATTCTTTAATGATTCTGGGGAATGTTCCTCTGTGGCTTTGAAGACAGTGGGCACAGCACTCGGCTTCAGAAGGATAGGAACCAAAGCCAGAAACCCCCCTGGAGACATGGAAAGACTTTGTGGGGAAGGAATAATCCTGAAACGTTTTGCACTTCCAGACCTAAACCAGCACGGGATCACTACTGCAAAGAGAAGGTGCCAAAAATGCAACAAACTCTTGATGCTCACCTCAGATGTTGCACCAGTTCTGGACAACTCTGAAAAGGAAAGAACATAGAATAAGATCAGTGTCAGTGCAGTGATTTCAGTCCCTGTGCAGCACAGCAACTGCAAAACATCAGCACAGGAACATTCCTGAGCAGCAGCTCTTCCTGAGCAGCACCACAGTGCTCACAACTCCACACTGCTACAGCTCCAGTTCTGTCCCTCAGCCCCTCACTAAGTAGCAAGTTCAAACTCTCCTCCATGTACAATAGGGAAATAAAGTAATTTGTTTTCAGCATTCCATCACTGATGGATACCACAGGGTTTTCTCTGATCACTGATACATACCACAGGGTTTTCTCCGTGGTGAGCCACCTTGACATCACACAGCAGCCCTGTAGGATCTAACTGCACTTCCACGTAGAACATGTCTGAAGTGATGTAACATTCAGTGCCATTGGCACTAAGGTGAGATCCCAGGCTTCCATACAAAACGAAACAGAAATTGCCATGAGATGCACACAAAAACCAACCAAAGCAGCAGTGAGAGTATGGATGGGTACAGAGGAACAGGGAAAGTCTTTGCCATCAACTAAAGGAGAAGACCTACCCGTTTTGTCTAGCTATAGACTCCAGGCGATCCGTCATGGCAGGCAGGGAAGATACTAGATGGAGAGAGCAGAAAACAGGGCTCAGTGAGATGATTCAACACTTCTCCAGGAATGAAACAGCAGCTCTAAACCCAGCCTCAACCAGTTCCTCCCTCCCCTGTCTGCTCACACCTTCACGTGTACTCAAAACACAGGCAGAACAACTTGAACAGAGAGAACCAAACGTTCCCAGAACTGCAAGGAGAGAAGGGCTGTTATTGCCCCAGTGGAATTCAGGAATGTTTGCAGACCCATGTAAAAAGCAAGTTCAAACTCTCGTACAGGTGCAAACAAGGGAAGTAAAGCCATCCCTTTCACTAGTCCATGGTTTAGTACTTCCCACTCACTAGTTTTCTGCTTTCACGACAGAAGCACCACAGACAATCTCCACTGGCATTGAGATGAGGTACCCAAACACGAACACACACACAAGAGGAACAGAGTGAGAGGTGCCAGCAGCCACCTCACTGCTCTCCTGCTTTGGAGACCTCCCACTGCTGAACACAGCATGTACCAACCTTTCAAGGCCTTCTGCAGTGTCTCCAAGCAGCTCACCAGGTGCTGGTGCCCCCCCGAGTTCATCACAACACGCTTTTCCTTAGAGAGGAGAGAAAGAGCTTTTTGTGTCTCACTCGGTTACAGGAGTTACTGCCATTCTGGGGGACTAATCTCCTCCCCAAATTACAGCTGCATTTTGGTTCCTGTAGGAGAAACCTATCTGCTTTAGAAGATGGGAACAAAGGCAGGCCTGGAATTGATGTATTTGCTTCTAAGCAACTTGCTCACCAGTAAAGAACACACTGAAGCAGCTTTTTAATAGGCATAAGCTACGTTACATGAGAGAGGACACAGAATCAAGTCAGGCACGCTTCTAACACCTCAGTTCATGCAGAAGTTGTTGCTGTAGCTCTCCCCTTCGTCCTGCTCCTCCTTCCTTCCACTCAGTTACCACTATTTCAAACCCCCACTTGGCAAAGCCAACACTGAGTTTGGAATGTCACTGAATGGGAGCAAACTGCTCAAAACCAACATCCCCAAAGAGCAAGGGGCAGCCCTCTGAAGAGCTCTGACAAAGCATCCCCCCAGTTAGCACTCCAGGAACTCCAGAAAGCTCCTGCTCAGGTCCCAGCAACTCTCACCATGACTTGACGCACTAACTTCATGGTTTCTGTCCAAGGCCTGTTTTGGTTGTACTTTGCATGGAGTCTTTCTAAGAGGGTGCTCATCTTGTTCAGCTTCTCCGTCTCTGTAAGACAGGGGCATCTTGAGAACACAGAACAAGACAACGCTTGAAGTGGTACAAATGAAAGAGTTGGAATGAAAAGACGTTCTGCCTTTCAGCTACCTGTGATTTCACAAAACTTATTCACGGCTCATTCCCCCCTGTGATCTCAACTTGCAGGTTCTATCACAAGGCATCAAAACCACAACGATCATAAAATGAAGATACATGGTCTGAGTCAGAAGCTTCCTTGGGACAGGAAAGGGAGTGTGTACAAAACACTGTTACAGGAGTGAGGTTAAGCTTTGTTTCCTGCATTCCCCTTCACTATTCTCACTTCCAACCCTCCAACTTGTTTACAGTGAAGATCCTCACAGACCCTTCCCTCACCCAAAACCTCAACCACATTGGTCCAACTGCCAGTGGTGATGGATTCTGTGATCAGACACACTCCTGCCCCACACGGGTGTGAAACACAGGCCTGGAGGCTCCTTTAGAGCCAGGGCACAGCTCCGAAAGCAGCAGCAGGCAACTGGAGGGGTCACAGATCTCCACTAAGCTCAAAGCAACTCAACCTCACAAAACACCTCTTGCATCCCACAGACTCCCATCTACTATCCGTGGGTCTACAAGCTATTAAGAGAAAGTTCCACTGTCAGGAATAATATCTTCCTGATGAGAGAAAGGAAGGGATAGAAGGTCAGTGACTAACCAAATACCAAGCACTGGCCGGTTCAGCTAAAGTTGAGGACTCCTGGCCACTGACAATAGGTCACCCAGCCCCATGTCCTGGTGGCTTTGAGGATGGAGATTCCAGCACCTCTCTGGGCACCCTGTGCTGGTGATAAAGTGCTTTCTGGTGCTCAGGTGGAGCCTTTCAGCACCCATGGCCTATGGTTCCTACCTGAAGGGAGGTGGGCTCCCTCTGCTTTAGGCCCTCCTCAAGGTATTTACGTGTTGACAAGATCCTACTGACAAGTGTTAAGCCCAGATCACAGAATCCCAGCCTGGTTTGGGTT